AGACAGTTTTTGTTGCTGATGAATCTTGATTAATTGATTAGAACCTCCTGTTTTATTAGTTTTCCTTGTTGTCAGAAGGATGATTCTTTTTATAGAATAAAAAATCATTATACGCAATAGTGGCTTCAAAGGATTGCGTGGAAAAATACAATTTCAAGAATTTTAAATCTCCTAATTTTAAGTTCACCCAGATGATTTTTCCAGTTCTCCCAAAACACTATACAGATCTTTCTTTGCACACAAACACTGCGCAGCAGGCTACTATTGAAACAAAACACAAACCAAAAATGCTGATACCATTGAGTTTCCCTCAAATATTATAAATTGGCACCAACAGCCCCTTTAGAGAAGTTTTCGGGTCGGTAGCCAAAAAAAAGATGTTGTAAGAAGTACCAATAAGGGAATGTTCATTAATATGTATTTGCCCGGGTTATCAGAAAAAAAAGTCAAGCAGTCCCAATTACGCTTTCCATAAATTGCATACATTATAAAATTATGTAACTTTCCTCTGACTAGCATTTTTGTAGAAAGCAAATCTATGACTAGCTTTCTTTTTACTTGTATGGCGTTGTAAGACTACTTTTCATCCAGAAATTATCAAATCACAGAGTTTTCATTTTATTATTTTATATCTTGTACGTTTGATGTATGTCTCCACATGCAATAACACCGGATAATGAAAACGAAAAAAATAATTATTATTTGGGTTTTGAATCCATTCTTTTTGCAACAGGCAGCAAAAATTCTCAGAATTCAGATGAGATAATTCAATAAATTGAGTTATTTTTTGTGTTTGCATATTTTCACAATTAATCGAATTTTCATTGCTTTTGTGCTAAACTACCTTATAAGTGCTGATTCGAATTAACCGGATGAAATGAACTGAGAAAATATTTTTGAACTTGTTTTTCTCAACAATTTTGCCCTGATTGACTCCCCTATTTTCAACCAAGAAAATTTACCCGTTTCAATGATATTATTCTGTATGAAGTGTCACAAAAATATTGCACCATAAGAAGCTTGCAAATTTTTAAATACATTTTGTTTTCATCAATTTTGTCCAACATTTACCGAGTTTGAAAACTTGAGTTCATGCTACCCAGTTAGTTTTAATCAGCTTTAAAGAGTTTATTTTCAGTACAAAATGCACTGAAATTTTAGTTAACTGCGAAAATTTGCGAAAAAAACCAGTTCAATGAAATATATCATCAGAATGTGGATGACTTTTGCTGCCTTTTCCAAAACGATTGGTAACAATTAACTAAAATTTGTGAAATGAAAAATTTTTCATAAAATACGTTTCTCAAAATCACAGTGCAGTTCGGAAAACCATTAAATGTTTTTGAATTGGGCAGAAAATATCAACTCTGAAACACAAATTTGACCTTTATTCCCTCAATGTCTTAAAATTGGGGGAAAACTCTGTTATAATTTTTAGATAGTCTTCGGTACCAAAAAACAAGTTTCTGCTGGTTGCAAGAATCAAATAAAAAAGTATGATTGTTCCGACTTCCGATACGAAAGTAACGGAATATTTGTGCTCGGGGTGGGTTTTTTTTTCTTCAGACAAATTTCGACTTTTTAACTAGCCATTTTTGACGGAACTTTTTTTTGTCGTTCGAAAGCTATTATTGTCCTGAGCAAAAATTTGAAAGAATATTTCACCTGTGACAATTTTCGTAAAGTTATGAGGGTTTAAAGATTGCCATTTTGGCCATTTTGACCGATTTGGGACAATTAACGCGCGATATATTTCGCGCTATTAACGCGTAAGCGGAGATTTAATCCGTCTTAGAAATCGTTCCAAATTGGTTGAAAGAAGCTTATTTGCCATAATTGATTTGTTAAAAGGAGCGAAATCTATTGTTTTGTACTTTAAATGTGTGGAAGATGATTTTCATAGAAAAATTTTCAAACTTTAGAAAAAACATTTTTCATTTTATTTTGTTTCATTTAATTTTTTTATGTTGTGTATGTTATTACTGCTTCATAAACGTTAATAGCCAGTCGGAGCTTTCAGGGCTTTGCCCTGATACGAGCAGTCTTGTTTCATTTGTTTTCAAATGTTTTAGGATTAAGAGAAAAAACTGTTGTTCACTTATTTGCAACATCACTTGTATACTCAAACAAAAGTTTGCCGAAACAAAAATTTTGAGTGCAAAACAACTTTTATATTTCGGTCAATAACCTAGTCGAGATTAGACTGTTCAGTAAAAAGAAACCAAGACACTTTGCATACTTGTCAAAAATCAATTAAGAGACAAATTTTATTTTCTGCAAAAAAAAAATTAAACGACTTTTTAGCACTAAGTTTTTCAAAAAAAAAAATTGTTCTTTTTCCTCTATGAAATTTACGGTTCTGACGTGTAACACTTGGGAAAACATCAACAGTGAAAGCGATTGCAGTTTAGATAGGCAATTATTGCCATTTAGCCAGAATTTTAATTTCACTGAGATAATCCTTGATTATTATGTTTAAAGAGAAAACACAAAAACTCACAGCGAAACATCCTTTTTTGGAAAAAATGATAAAATAGGCAATGGTAGTGAAACACAAAAAATTGTTTATCAAAAGTTTTTTTTAGAAATTGTTGTGCGTTGGAATTGTATGAAATTGTATTGCAAGCGGTTGTAAATATATGAAATTTGTAATATAAGAAGTTTTAGTCAACTCGGGATAGATTTGTGTTTATCGAGACAAACGTTTAAAATAAGTGCTGAAGGCTCAATTATAAGACGGCCGATGACGTGTTAGATTTTTTAAATTTTCAAAAGTCTAGAAATTTCTAAAAGTTTAAATAACCATTCTTTAGACAATTTGAATTCAAGGTCACTTCAAGTCTAGATAGTAACTTTATACTTTTGTCTAAAATTTTGCTTGCACAGATTGATCTGTCTGAAGCAAACTAACAAAAAACATCAATCTCCTTGCTTCTTAAAAAAATTTTTGTAGAATAAAATCACTTTAAGTTTTTAATCACTAGAAAAAATTGCTCATAAAAGTTTTGCGAAATGGTTCAAGTTGAAATCCTTTGAACTATTTCAAAGTTATAAGGATTTAATGAATAAGTTGTAGCAAAAATTTTTTTATTGATTTCACAATATGGAGTTATTTAGACTTTAATTGCGAGAACAGATAGCTCAGAACTAACTTTTCGGGAGCCGATTGGTTAATGGAGACGGGCATAATATTTAATTCTGAACGAACAGACATTTCCGAATCTTCGAGAGTTTGGAAGTTTTTCTTAAAAACTCCAAGGTCGTTGGCAATTAGGTTTTATGCATTCAGATCAAAACTTTTTTTGCCATTTTTGCTGCAGGCGTTTTGTTCATCTTGAGCGCTGCTCCAAAGCTTTACAAAGGCCTGAAGCTGCCCAAAACTCAACTAGTCAAGTACAAATTTAGACATGTGAAAAAAAAAACACTTCCTCCTGTACATTGTGGTGCGCAATCAGCCCTCAGAATTAGCCCAAATGCGGGGATCAGACTATGATTTTTTGTTTTGGGCAGAAAATATCAACTCTGAAACACAAATTTGACCTTTATTCCCTCAATGTCTTAAAATTGGGGGAAAACTCTGTTATAATTTTTAGATAGTCTTCGGTACCAAAAAACAAGTTTCTGCTGGTTGCAAGAATCAAATAAAAAAGTATGATTGTTCCGACTTCCGATACGAAAGTAACGGAATATTTGTGCTCGGGGTGGGTTTTTTTTTCTTCAGACAAATTTCGACTTTTTAACTAGCCATTTTTGACGGAACTTTTTTTTGTCGTTCGAAAGCTATTATTGTCCTGAGCAAAAATTTGAAAGAATATTTCACATGTGACAATTTTTTGTAAAGTTATGAGGGTTTAAAGATTGCCATTTTGGCCATTTTGACCGATTTGGGACAATTAACGCGCGATATATTTCGCGCTATTAACGCGTAAGCGGAGATTTAATCCGTCTTAGAAATCGTTCCAAATTGGTTGAAAGAAGCTTATTTGCCATAATTGATTTGTTACAAGGAGCAAAATCTATTGTTTATATACTTTATATGTGTGGGAGATGATTTTCATAGAAAAATTTTCAAACTTTAGAAAAAACATTTTTCATTTTATTTTGTTTCATTTAATTTTTTTATGTTGTGTACGTTTTTACTGCTTCATAAACGTTAATAGCCAGTCGGAGCTTTTAGAGTTTGCCCTGATACGAGCAGTCATGTTTCATTTGTTTTCAAATGTTCTAGGATTAAGAGAAAAAACTGTTGTTCACTTATTTGCAACATCCCTTGTACTCTCAAACAAAAGTTTGCCGAAACAAAAATTTTCAGTGCAAAACAACTTTTATATTTCGGTCAATAACCTAGTCGAGATTAGACTGTTCAGTAAAAAGAAACCAAGACACTTTGCATACTTGTCAAAAATCAATTAAGAGACAAATTTTATTTTCTGCAAAAAAAAATTAAACGACTTTTTAGCACTAAGTTTTTCAAAAAAAAAAATTGTTCAACTTCCGTTATGAAATTTACGGTTCTGACGTGTAACACTTGGGAAAACATCAACAGTGAAAGCGATTGCAGTTTAGATAGGCAATTATTGCCATTTAGCCAGAATTTTAATTTCACTGAGATAATCCTTGATTATTATGTTTAAAGAGAAAACACAAAAACTCACAGCGAAACATCATTTTTTAGAAAAAATGATAAAATAGGCAATGGTAGTGAAACACAAAAAATTGTTTATCAAAAGTTTTTTTTAGAAAACGTGTGCGTTGGAATTGTATGAAATTGTATTGCAAGCGGTTGTAAATATATGAAATTTGTAATATAAGAAGTTTTAGTCAATTCGGGATAGATTTGTGTTTATCGAGACCAACGTTTAAAAAAAGTGCTGAAGGCTCAATTATAAGACGGCCGATGACGTGTTAGATTTTTCAAATTTTCAAAAGTCTAGAAATTTCTAAAAGTTTAAATAACCATTCTTTAGACAATTTGAATTCAAGGTCACTTCAAATCTAGATAGTAACTTTACACTTTTGTCTAAAATTTTGCTTGCACAGATTGATCTGTCTGAAGCAAACTAACAAAAAACATCAACCTCCTTGCTTCTTAAAAAAATTTTTGTAGAATGAAATCACTTTAAGTTTTTAATCACTAGAAAAGTTGCTCATAAAAGTTTTGCGAAATGGTTCAAGTTGAAATCCTTTGAAATATTTCAAAGTTATAAGGATTTAATGAATAAGTTGTAGCAAAAAAAAACTTTAATGATTTCACAATATGGAGTTATTTAGACTTTAATTGCGAGAACAGATAGCTCAGAACTAACTTTTCGGGAGCCGATTGGTTAATGGAGACGGGCATAATATTTAATTCTGAACGAACAGACATTTCCGAATCTTCGAGAGTTTGGAAGTTTTTCTTAAAAACTCCAAGGTCGTTGGCAATTAGGTTTTATGCATTCAGATCAAAACTTTTTTTGCCATTTTTGCTGCAGGCGTTTTGTTCATCTTGAGCGCTGCTCCAAAGCTTTACAAAGGCCTGAAGCTACCCAAAACTCCACTAGTCAAGTACAAATTTAGACATGTGAAAAAAAAACACTTCCTCCTGTACATTGTGGTGCGCAATCAGCCCTCAGAATTAGCCCAAATGCGGGGATCACACTATGATTTTTTGTTGGTCGCCCAAAAACTTTGTTTAATATAAGAATTCCTACTTTTCAATATTTTTCTACTCCTGAGCAGACCTTACGTTTAAAAGACCTTACGTTTCTCCTGCTTTCTGGTCTAAAACTAATTAATTTTCATCTAAAATGCTTTGTTTTATCAGAAACAATTTTTAAAACTATCGTTAAAACTATTGTTATAAATGAAGAGAAAGTTAAAAAGCTTTGAACGTAGTGATAATATTTTCATGATAAATTTCAAAAAATTATAGAGCTAATTTTCATTGAAACTAGTCGTCGAAAGAAGTAGTTGTTTCATAGATCAGTGAAAAGATAAAACAAGGATAACCGGTAACTCTGCGAGTGAGTACCACAGAATGATCCGACCATACTGATAAAAACTACAAGAAAAGTTCTTCAAATTAATTTTGCCAACAATTTCTTCATTTTTTTAAACAATATTTTTTAGAAAATTCTTCTTAGCAGGATTTGCCAAATATAGCTTTCAAAACTACTTTCAATTGAAAAAATCAAGTTTTATATCCTAAATCACCAATTTAACAAAATATCATCACTTTATTTGGTCGAATTAGACAAAAAAAAATCAGCAACTTCAAACCGGTGTTTTCCTCGACACCGGGAATTTTTCTGGAAATTCACAAATGTCGTTCGAATCACGACTGAAAGGGCTTTAATATGATATATCACGCAACTGTGAGAGCTGATTTTGCGAGGAGAACAAAAAAAAAAGAAAAAAATAAAACGCACTCGAATACAAAGTTGCTTCCCATTTTTATTGGTCAGAACAAAAAAAATTGAGCGAATCAATATGTGACTGTTTTATCAAAACTTTTATGTATTAGTTTTTTTCAAGCATAATACTATAAGTTTCACATTGCATCGTACCAAAACGTGCTTAAAACAAAACTTAGACTCAACCATGCAGAGTTTTTGATATTAGTGACAATTACATTTACCACGTTTAACTCAACATGGTAAGCTGTTAATATTGCTTCGTACATTTTTTCAAAACATCAAATTTTGTTATCTTATGTTTTGTGTCATTTTAGACGGAATCTGGAGAATCGCAGATATTGCGAAGTTTTGAAAACGACTTACTTGAGGTGAGATTCATTGAAATTTTTCGGTTGCACCCCCACACTTGATTATATTACCACGGGGGGATCTTGCTTTTTCAAAGGGGGGATCGGATTGAAAATATTCTGATACTATGTCTTTTTTCTACTTTTCTAGCTTTACTAAATTGATTTTCCAATTTCTACCAAAACCTTTAGACAACAATTTTGCTAATGGGCAGGCAAATATATACGACAGAATCCGTTTTTAAATCCGTTGTTACGCCAAACTGTACGTAAGTTACGTGCTCCCTCAAAATAAGCAAAATTACGGCCAAAATGTACTATTTTTAAGTGCTCCCTCAAAGTTAGTACATTTTGGCCTCAAAAACGCCTTCAGAAACATACTTGTGTTGTTCGGCCGAGAATGGATGTCGTAAATTAACACCATTAGTGTTCTGTATCATAGAATTCTGTATCACGATCTCAACCTGGTATTTATTGAAGTTTTTTTAATACGCATATAGTTTTAGGAAAATTATTATACATTTGCTTACTTACCAACCATTTAAAGCGAACTTCATCTGATTTATCATTGAGCTGATTATGTTGAATAGGGTTCAGTATTATATTACACATTTTTTAGAGATAAATTCTTCTAAAGAAGTTTTTGCGATACATAGCATCCAGCAAACGAGTCAAAGCTTGGTATAAGTAAAACTTCAGAATCAATGAAAAGTTTTTAAACTACTCATCTTGTCATTGTCAGCTTATATCCGACTTTTAAAACCTCTCTGCTTTCTGTTTCTGATCTATAAATTTTTAAAGCGTTTATAATCTATAAATTTTTAAATTTGAAAAATCTTTTTTAGTAATTTAAAAATTGATTATCAAATTCTTTTAAAACATGTAAACGATTTTTTTTCTAACTGTTTTTATATACAACTATAACAGCCTATAATCAAGTATGTCAACTCTTGTCACTTTTGGGTCATGATTTATAATCCATTTTAATCGAGAAGAATCAGTTTTATTCTATCATAATCTTTGTATTTCCACATTTTTTTGGCCATTGCATTTGAGTTATTTACCAATAACGTTTTCCTGAAGTTTGGCTAAGTGAAAACAAAAAAAACATTCCTTACAATATTTGTTCGTTTTGATTATGTTTTTTCCTCTTTTTTCACGACGCACATTCTTTGATTTTTACCACAAATTTCACAGAAAATCAACAAGAAAATAACTAGCATTGAAAACTTTAAACGCAGTTTGCTCAAATATTATGTGAAGTTTAGACAATAAAATGAAGAGAAAAAAGTTTCTAGATTTTCTTCAGAATTCTTATGGTGTAATTTGTTCAGCGATATTTGGAATCATATTTTTACCTCAAAAATGGGTCATTTTGACTTTTTACTTAATCAAGCCTTATGCTAAAACTACCAATTTACTTAAGGGGAAAATTATATCCAAAGAAGCCCCCAACGGCGCAGCAAAAATTTTGAAGAGTAAAATCTCCAAAAATGGTCATAATATAACTTAAAACAAATTTTATGTAACAACCAAAGAAAGTTTTTGAAGATTTTACACTTCCTTAAATTTGTTTGGGTGTGTCATGGGCTTTTTTGATAGAGCTTTCTTACCTATTAAAATGGTAGTTTAAGCGTAATTACCTTCTTCTTTTTTCCATAAGTTTAACCCAATTTGAGAAAAACGCTGGAAATTTGAAGTTCTGTACATTTTCTCCGAATAATATAATTCACCCATTTTTCTTAATAAAAATTTACACGATGCTTTTTTAGTGAAAAACATCTAGACAATATTTTTATCATCAAAATTATGTACGCTCCCAAACACGCGTTCCAAAAATATAGTTATGCCTAACCTACTTTTTCTGTTTTTGAGTTTCAAACATATCTTCCAGTTTTAGATAATTTCCGTATTTAGAAGCAATTGCTTCTTTTCTGCAACAAATAAAAATAGTTCTGGCATAATTTTTGTTCCTGATAAAAAGATGGCTTTTTTGAAACCAAAAAAACTCTAATCAAAAAGAACTGGAATGCTTAATTTTTTCTTGATAATGTTTTATTTTGAATCTGCTAATAGGTGAGATTTTCTTCAAGGGTAGTAAAAAAACTGGCTTGAACTCGAGCTAAAATTTATACTTAAGATGTTTTCTTAATGTCAAATTCTATACAAAACACACAAAAACGACAAAAGGGAGTGAAAGAAAATAAGGAAAAAAATATTGTGAAAATTGATAGCAAGAAAGAATTATATCAAACACATGTTTCTTTCTTCTCATTTCAAATAGAGAATAATAAAAAAGAACCAGAAATCACAGTTCGTACAAAACGAAATGATTACTTCAAAAAAAAAATTATGTCCCAAAATATTAGATCACTAAACAAAAATTTAGTAAGCTGGAAGTTTTTCTTTCAGAACTGGAAGCAAACCTGTAGCAATAGCATTAAAAGAGACATGATGCAATGAAAATACAAATGCAAATGCGTTAGTTCAAACTGGATATCAAAAAGTAAATGCATACAATCGAGCAAATTGAGGAGGGGGCGTACGAATATAATTCATAAAACAGCAGAAAAATCAAATCATAAAGAGGACTACAAACCATCCTTTACAAATTTCATCGGTAAAAATGTTGAGAGTGGGAGAAAAATTGATATTATTTGTGTTTTACAAATCACCAAAAGTTGAAAAAGATGAAACCTTAAACTTTCTCCAAAAACACATGCTGAAAGTGTAAGAAGCCAAACAAATTGCGAACACAAACTAAGAACCCAAGTGTATTTGTTTGCATATACCTGAAAACTATTTTATTTTTTCTTTGCAATCCATATTAACTGCATGCAACTACGATTGTGTTTGAAATGAACTTGTATTGTAATGAATCGTGGTTATTGATTAATCAGAAACGTGTCAAGTTTTTCTGGTTATGAACCCAGCTTAATAATGCTATGATTAAGTTTTCATGGATACCATTTATGAAGTTATGAAAATCGTAGCAATTTTTTTATAAACAAAAAGTATTGAAATTGTATAGAAACTATTAGACAAAGACTTCTTTTCGACATATTGAAACTACATGACAAGTATTTTCACATTGGCGAGCCATTTTTGGTGCATGTATTATAAAAAGATCCGGTTAAAAATTGCTGAATAAAAAACTAATTGAAAAGGCTTTTTTGTAATCAAATTACTTGTAACCTTTTTGAATTTTGAATGGGCGGTTAATTGGTGAAAAAAAAAAGATTGGAGGGACATTAGTTTGGTGCTCAGAACTGATTTTATTTTGTTTTTCCTTCTCCAATTGTTACATTTTGTAGGAAATGCGAGGAGGCGCTGTTTTTAATTAACAATTCAATCAAAGTGGAAATTGTTTTTTGAGTCTCTGCAATTGTGGGCAGTCTTGAAGAATTGACCGCAAACGATGCGTTATCTTCACTAAATTGACCTGATAGTTGAAAGTGTTCAGAACGCTTTTTCTCAACACTGAAAAGCCTTGAATAAGTTTATACATCAATAGAAGCACAGTTTATAAGGGGCTGATTATGATATATCACTTGACTATTTAGTTCTAATGGCAAATAATTTTGCGGGGAAATAAAAACCCAAATACAATGTATTTCCCCATTTTCACTGTGTGGAGCAATAATCTAGTGCACAATATGAACTAAAGTTTAATATAATTCACTTAAATTATCAGAACAAAGGTTTTAAGAACCGTCAAAATATGAAAAAACTTACAGTTTTTGGTGAGTAACTTACACGTGGTTGAATAATTGCATTAAGTTAATGAAAATAAATTTTTTGATATGCGCATAGGGAAGCTATTCACGCGATGAACAGTAAAGTTGATAAATCGTTTTTTCTTGGTTAAAACTCTATCTCTAGCTTCAACTGCGAACGGTTTCCCAGCAAATCGATCCTGCACATAGACCTACAGCATGACTACCAGGCTGTTTTATTTGGTTCAAATAGCCGCAGAAACTAGTTCGAATCTTTTTTCAATGGTTTTTTGAAATTGTATGAAAATTGCATGATTAGCATTTTTCCATACGTTTGATGTAGGGAATTGTATGATAAGCATTTTCAGTGTGGGGAAATGTAAAATAAGCATTTTCGGTTTGTGTAGGTTAACCCGGGCAATTGTAAATCATAATCTTTTATCAACAATTTGTCGCTTTTCGATAACTCCATTGTACCCAAGGAAAGCTAGCACAACATCATCAATTTTTTCGATTATTTATAGAGTCAATTAAAGTTCGTTACCATGCGTTGCGAGAAAAACAACAAATAAAAAACACTGAAATTTATGCAATCCTTTCGGTAATAAAATTGAACAAGACTGCTCGTATCAGGGCGAAGCCCTGAATGTTCTGGCTGTCTTTTAAGGTTATTGGAGCATAGTAATAACATAAAAAAGCTAAATGTAATAAAATAAAATGAACTTTTTTTTCTAAAATATGAGATTTTTTTGTGAAAATCATCCCGCCACACGCATTTTATTACTACTTGAGATTTCTAAAACTTGAGATTTAATGTGATACATTCGCTCCTATTAACAAACCAATTATGGCAAATAAGCTTCCTTCAACCATTTGGAACAATTTCTAAGACAGATTAAAGCTCCCCTTACGCGTTAATAGCGCGAAATATATCGCGCGTTAGTTGTCCTAAATTGGCCAAAATGGAAATCTTTAAACCCCCATAACTTTACCAAAAACGATCACAGATAAAACAAGACTGCTCGTATCAGGGCGAAGCCCTGAATGTTCCGACTGCCTTTTAAGGTTTTATGGAGCAGTAATAACATTAAAAAATTAAATGTAATAAAAAATTTAAAATTTTTTAATGAAAATCATCCCCCCACACGCCATGTAAAGTACAAAAAGATAGATTTAGCTCCTTGTAACCAATCAATTATGGCAATAAAGCTTCTTTTAACCAATTTGGAACGATTTTAAGACGGATTAACTCTCCGCTTACGCGTTAATAGTGCGAAATATATCGCGCGTTAATTGTCCCAAATTGGCCAAAATGGCAATCTTTAAACCCCCATAATTTTACGAAAAAAATCACAGGTGAAATATCTTTTCAAGTTTGAGCTCAAGGCAGCAATACCTTTTGAATGATATAAGAAAATTCCGTCAAAAAGGGCAAGTTAAAAAGTCGAAATTTGTCTGAAGAAAAAAAAACCCACCCCGAGCACAAATATTCCGTTACTTTCGTATCGAAAGTCGGAACAACAAGTCTGCTCGTATCGGGACGAAACCCTGAATGTTCCAACTGCCTTTTAAGGTCTATGGAGCAGTAATAATTTTAAAAAAATAAATGAAATAAAACAAAAAAGAACAAAAAAAATTTTCTAAATTTGAAATTTTTCATAAAAAAGCATCCCCCCACACGCCATATTAAGTACAAAAGAATAAATTTTGTTCCTTGTAAATTTAGCTCTTTGCCATAAAATCACTTATGGCAAATAAGCTTCTTTCAACCAACTTGGAACGATTTCTAAGACGGATTAAATCTCCGCTTATGCGTTAACAGCACGAAATATATTGCGCGTTAATTGTCCCAAATTGGCCAAAATGGCAATCTTTAAACCCCCATAACTTTACAAAAAATGATCACAGGTGAAATATCCTTTCAAATTTAAGCTCAGGACAACAAAACCTTTTGAATGATTTAAAAAAATTCCGTCAAAAATGGCTGGGTAAAAAGTCGAAATTTGTCTGAGAAAAAAAACTCACCCCGAGCACAAATATTCCGTTACTTTCGTTACAAAAGTCGGAACAAAAATAATCTTGAAGTTTAAAATTTTTGTAGAATTCTGTGAACTGATTATGGGAAAAGTAGTATTCCATCAAACAAAGAAGTTCGTAAAAAAGAAATGAATAAATTTTAATGGCAATTTATATATCCTAAGTTTGGGTTAGTTAATGATTCAGCGCATAGCCGTACGCTTTAGGGTATTTGAGTTATTGCCGAAAAACTCACTCTGAGCCATTGTTGCTTCTCAATTTGTTCAGAGAAATAAGAACAATAGCTTATTATATGTTTGCCTTATGCTGACACTATTTGGGGGGGGGGGGGTGTCTGCAACTGAGCTTTCTTGCTTTCTAAATTTCCTTGGTTCCTTTTAGATTGAAAGGGAGTGTGGTAGGAGTGATGAGTTGAATGTGTTCATGCTGGAGTACAGGGCCCTGCTGGAACAACTGCGCAAATCGGAGGACTCTGGCAGACGCATTGACGCCAACAATCGACAGCTGCAAGCGGAGATTCTGGCCAATGACGCCAAACTGCCCTATGCAAAACGCATCATGACAGACAGCGAGCAAAACATCATCACACTCAAACAGGTAACGCTCCCAGTGTACCTGGAATGCAAACCTCAAGAAAATGTTGCAAACCTTACAAGAATCTTGTGAAAAAATGCAAACCTAGCAAAAATGAGTGCATATCTTACAAGGATCTTACAAACTGAGTGCAAGAAATTAAAACACGAGTAAAGTAATTTGCATCCCGAGAACACTGGGGACACGACTTGACATGGAACAGCATAGCCCAATCATTCGCTGAACTATAACAAAACAACGAAATGAAGTTCTCGAAGTGGGATATAATTAAACCTTTTTCTCTTGTTTTTAATGGTTGTTTGTGTTGTTTGTTTTTCATTGCTAATGAATGTTGTTGTTTGACGCAGAATGTGGAGGATAGTCTGACGGAGGTTTTGAAAGCACAGAGTGTGGAGGGGGAGAAGAAAAGGGAGATTGGGGCTCTGAGGGGGGACATCGAGGCACTGGGACGCCAGTTGGACAGCAATATCGCCACCACACACCACACACAGCCACAGTAAATTCTCGAAACTTTTTTTTTATCATTTCAATATTCTTGTTAACCTAACAACAACCCTCACGCCATTATATACCATACAAAGTGCAATTTTATGGAAGGACGATGTCTCCCCCCTTCACTGCATGATCGTCAATTTTATGGTGTAACTAGTGATTTAACAAGGTTAAGTATGAAGACCAAATATGTCTCTTATGGCTTAGTTATTCCGCATGTCAATTTCCATAGCAATCAGATAACGCGACCAATAATTCTACTAGTAAAAATTCGCAAGGGGAGGACAAAGAGCCGAGGCGAGGTAGGGTGTAGGGGTTGAGATTGGGAGGGGGTATTTCACGCTTTTCTTACCTCAGCCAAACAGTGACACGAGATTCTCATTGCCTAGAGAGCTTCTTGGTACTATTTCAATACGTCTATTTTTTTCTGACCAGTCTTCAAAATTTTTAAAGGTGCCAATTTATGCCAGTTTTCAGCCAAAGCTTTTTGAAAAAAGTTCTAAAAGGGACCAAACTGTAACCAAAATAGTTACCACCTTCTGTGGCAATTGAATCGTTTTTTCAAGGAATGAAAAGATTTGCCCCAACCGCCTAAGTCACCCCTTGCAAATGAGTGGCTGCTTTCTTTCTAAATGCACAACTAATTAAGCCAATTTCTCACAAATTTCTTCTACCGCTGGCAAACCCGATGAAAATGGTAGCGATTAGCTCTAGCTCGCCAAAGATTCCGACCAAATTGGCTGTTGCACTTTTTTCCAGCTGTTTTTTATTCGAAGTTTTTTTTTATATATAAACGGGAATTGGATGTTTGTTCACTCAATCTATTCATACTGTGTTGTGTGTTGCGATTGTAGACTGGAGAAATTGTTACTGGAGAAGAGTGATTTGGCAGTGAGTTTGAATGGGGAGTTGGAACAGGTGGCCAAATTGAGGGATGCCGTCCAGTCTGCTGTGGAGGAGCACGAGAAAACTCAACTGCAGAGACAAGAGCTACACGAGAACACCGAAAAGGTACAGTACCCATACACGTAGATCCCCTATCCGATATAGAACCCTCCCCCCCCCCCCCCCCCCGCTTAAACGTCTCTGCGGTATGACATCTACACACCATAGACCTTTTAAGACTACACATACACGCATGCATCATATAGTATATACCATAGGGGGAGATTGTTAAGTAGATTTACCTATTCTCTTACTTTCGTAGCAAAATGAGAACAAAAACAATCGTTTTTCAAGTAATTTATCTGTGGTTGTCTCTAATAACGTCGTCCAGATGCAGTAAGACTTCCCGTAGTAGTATAAATGCAGTATTGGTTGTTTACCACGGTCGAGGTGCTCGACTTATGTTTCGATTTTGAAAGTCGAGCAAGTGCAATTTTGCGACTGAAATCTTAAGTCGAGCACAAAGTCGAAACAAACCCGATTTCGGTCGAGAAAATCAAAACATAGGTCGAAAAAGTCGAAACATACCCAATTTTGGTCGAGCAAGTCGAATTATACGTCGAGAAAGTCGAAACATACCCAATTTCGGTCGAGAAAGTCGAAATTTAGGTCGAGTGGATTCGAAACATAGGTTGAACATGGTGGAAACATGAGTAGAGCACAGTCAAAACATACCCGATTTTGGTTGATAAAATCAAACATATCTATGCGGGATCAAACAAAAAGAGTTTTAAGAAACTTTAAGAGAACTACAATAAGTAGAATCAAAACCAACAAAAAAAGTCGATTATGTTGAAAACATAAACGGATTTCAATCGATCATAATGGATCAAGTAAGTTTTGGAAAATTTTTTCTTATCTATGCGCGGTCGAAAAATTTTAGAAAAAATGGCGATCGAGACAGTCGAGAAACTCGAAACTTATCAATTTTTGATCAAGAAAATTGAAACGTATCTATGCAGGGTCGAACAAACAAATTTTCAAATTTTTTAAAAAAAATTGTTGGTCGAGAAAGTCGCGAAGCCGAAACATATAGAATTTTGGCCAAAAAAGTCGAAACATATCTGAACTGGAATAAACAAGGTCGAACACTTTTTTGTTTGGTCGAGAAAGTCGAAACATACCAATATTTGGTCGAGAAAGTCAAAAAGTACCGAAATTTGGTTGAGAAAGTTGAAACATACCAAAGTTCGGTCGATTAGTCAAAAAATAGTAAAATTTGGTCAGAAAGTCGAGACATCCCGCTTTTTGATCGAGAAAAACCAGACATAAACCGAACATCTTGACCCGAATTTTATCACTTCAGAAAAAAATTTGGCTCTATTCCTTGAGTGGAAAAAAAATAAGACGGGAGATGTACAAGTCAATAGGATGGTTGGTACAGCAGAAATGATTGAAAAAAGAACCTTATAATCTATTTTGCACTCACGCCGAGAAAAAAATTTGTCATAGAATTTCATACTTTGGTACAAAATTTTCATACCTCTAAAAAGGTGCATGAAACACAAAAACTGTTTTTTTTTCTTCAAATTGTGAAATTTATGACTAATATTTCTTCCATACCGAAACTAGCCTTTTTTCAATAAATGAATATTGGATACGCTGTTTGGGTTTTGCGTTTCAACTGTCGGTTAAGTGTTAGTTAGAACTTTTAAAATATAAAATTTATCAAAAAAACCCACACGCTACCTAGAGTACAAAATGATATGGTTCGCGGTAAGAAACTATCAAATAGACCAAACAACATGCCTCAATTCAATAGGGAACGTGTTCTACAACAACAAGACTGCTCGTATGCAGGTCAAATCCCTGAATGTCTTACTGCCCCTTAATCCATATCGAACAGTTTTTAATAAACTATAATTTTTGGACAATATCAAAGATCAAGTAACAAAATTTGAGTCGTGCGAAAATACTACGACCGATTAGCAAGCCTCAATTCAATTTGGAACGATTTGGTGTGCGGGATGAATCGCCATGCGCTTTCGTGGTACGCTTTCAGTATTATCAATAAAATCTTGAATTAGCCCAGAGCCTGCCCAAATTGGCAGTTTTGAAACTCCCATAACTCTGCAAAAAATAGTTGGAAGTAAAATGTTTTTTTTTTTCAAAGATTTTATTTCAGGGAGTCGATACCTTCAATAGCGTATAAAATTTTTTGTTAAAAATTATTATTTCGATGGTCGAAAAATGGCTCAATAAAAAACACACTAAACATAAATCTTTCGTTTTCTTCGAAAGTCGGAAGAATTAAATCTGCGCTTACGCGTTATTAACATAAATATATAGCACGCTTTTTAGACCAAATTTGACTGAAATGGCAATCTTTAAACCCCCATATATTTACAAAATTCAATCACAAGTGATATATCTATTTAAATTTAGGATTAAGACAAAAATACTTTTTCGACGATAACTTGTCTGGAGAAAAAAAAGCACCCGAGCATTAATAGTCCGTTACTTTCTTCAAAAGTCGAAACAATAACCAAAGAATTTCTACAGTAAGAAAACCAACAGCTTGAGTTGGGTTATCCTCAAAGGCATACCTCATATTGAGATTCGCCCTTTTTCAAGCTAAAATATTGAATTTCAAAGGGAATTATAACAAAAATTGTAGCTTTTGGAATACGCTAAAAAACTTTATGCTAGAAAATATTGGCTCGACTGATAAGTTTGCAGATTTGAAAAAACACTAATGTTTGCTTCAGTATTGAATTTATTTCTCGGCTAAGAAAGATTTGTTTCCCTCAAAATCTGTTTTTGCCTGTAATTTGTACTGAACTCATCTAAAAATGCTTGCCACACAATTTGTTAGTATGAAATTTTGTTTGAAAATTTTCGTTTTTGTGCAGGGATTTTTACGTGATACCATTATTGGCACGAAATTGGTCAGGCTGTAGTAGACCCAAGCTAGACATCAATCAAGAGCTCGTGTCCTTACACACTACTCTTGCCATGGCAGGGGATCGAACAAAGCTTTCGATTTTTTTTGAAACCCCCCACCTCTCGAGAAAATTTTAGATCCCCCACTTGAGAGGGACAACGAACGCTCCCCTCAAATCACTGGCTACTCGAAACAATGATATTTATTAAGTTATTTCCTCATTGCCTTTTTCATCACAGTTTCGATTGACTGTCTATTAGATTTGTCACAGGGTCAATTAACACGAGGGGGCCAAAATATTTTTTCGCAGTTAATCTGTTTTGTTTTGTTTTCTGCTTTCAATTGTGCATTTGATCTTCCTCTCTCTGGTTTTCCATCACATTTCTGCAGAGTTATTATCTGAGGTGAAGAAGCAGAGAGAGGGTGATTCATCCCTGTTCGAAGTCCTGCAGTTTCGGATTCCGTCGCACTCAACTGAAAGAACCATGAAACAATTAGTTTTAAGTTTCAACTCTGTCATGAACCAAAATAAACGCTATTGAGCTCTCCAATGAGAACAACTCTGATGATCTGCATTTAGATTTTGCAGAACTTTTTACATACCTCCACCTTCTCTTCTTGTAAGAAACACTTCGATTTTTTGTTTTAATCAAAAAGAGCGTTTAAATTCTCTAAAACGAGCCTTAAAAACTAAGAGCATTAAACGAGCTTTGAAAATTAAATTCTTAAAAAACATCAATCTAAAAACATTCTAAATCGGATTTTGAAGCAAAGAAAAACAAGACTGCTCGTATCAGGACGAAGCCCTGAATGTTTCGAATGCCTTTTAAGTTCTATGGAGTAGTGTTTGCATTTAAAATTTTCAAACGAAATCAAAACATTCAAAAAAAAATTTTCGAGTTTATTTTTTGAAAATTATCCCCCCACGCTATGCAAATTGCAGAAAGTATCTTTCGCCTAAACTGAAGTTTTAAATAGTACAGATAGCATACCTCAGTTCAATTTGGAACGATTCTTAAAAGGTATAAAAGACTGCTCGTATCAGTGTGAAGCCTTGAATGTTCCGACTGCCTTTTAAGGTTTATGAAGCAGCAATAACATAAAAAATTTTAGGTACAATAATATAAAACGATTTTTTTTAATTTAAGTTTGAGATTTTTTTGAAAAATCATCGCCCAAACGGCATATAAAGGAGAAAGGGAAAGATTCCGCTCCTACTAACAAATCATTTCAGGCAAATAAGCTTCCTTCAACCAGTTTGGAATGATTTCTAAGTCGGATTAAATCTCCGATTACGCGTTAACAGAGCAAAATATATCGCACGTTAATTGCCCCAAATCGTTCAAAATGGCCAAAAGGGCATTCTGTAAACCCCCATGGCTTTACAAAAATGATCACATGTAAAATGTATTTTCACATGATATTTTTTTATATCATTCAAAACTTTATTTTTGAATGATATGAATAAACTCCGTCAAAAATAGCCTGTTAAAAAATAGAAATTTGTCTGAAGAAAAAAAAAACCCACACCGAGCACCAATATTCTGATACTTTCGTCACGAAAGTTGGAGCAATAAATCTCCACCTGCGCGTTTAAAACGCAAAATGTATCGCGCGTTCATTGTCTCAAATTGGCCACACTGGCATTCCTTAAACTCCCATGACTTTACAAAAATGATCACAAACAAAATTATTTTTTTTTATTTGAGCTCAGAACATGAACATTTTAACACCAAAAAAGGAATAGTTAAAAAGTCAAAATTTGTCTTGCTTTTTAAATCAAGGATAACACCGAAAACTCCGACCACAATAATGAAAAACTCCGACCACAGTTCTAGAGATTTTCGACCAAAATATTATGATTTTTTGCATGATGTAAGGCGGAAAACTAGACGAAAGCATTGAATTTGAGTAAGCAAGGCGTAATTGAAGATATTTACCTACGCTTTCAAAAAAATTGCTCTTCCTGTTTTTGGAAGATTTGAAAAAAAATTACTCAAACATTCTATTTACAAAAAATGCCCAATGAGACTTCAAAATTTTGTTTTGCTTGAGTTAAATTAAATTTCACAGCTTTATTAACCAATTTTCATCTAACAAACTTTGCTCGTTTGTTTTAATCATTTTTTAAAAGAACTAAAGGGCTTCAAAATAGTATGTCACTCAAACCATTCTGATAGTT